AAACTGGACTGTATAAAATAATTGGCGCTGAACTTCGGTGTCGGTAAAACAAAGTTTCCGGCATGACTTACCTCTCCTCTTGCTAGACGATCACTTATTCTCTCGCTCTAGTCCACATTGTCATATAATTCAAGTGGTCTTCATCTATGTTTTAACATTAAGATGATATTCATTATTAGTTTATATATTGCTGTCAGAATAATCACAATTATTCTCGTTGTTATTTTCTTTGTTGTTATTGTTTAATGATGATGATGATGATGATGATGATGATGATGATGATGATGATGATGATGATGATGATGATGATGATGATGATCATCATCATCATCATCATCATTATTATTGTTATCATTATTGCAATGAAAATATTAAGTAATCTGAACAATATGAACAAGTTAAGACAGTGAGCTCAAATTTGCTTCGATTTGGATCATCTGTATAAAAAAGCTTTCAGAAATTATATATAGTCCCTGATCGGTTCACAGAACTCAAAAAGTCTGACGGACCCAGTAGCTCTGTGGGAGTCCTTTAAGGGCGAAACACTCGGTGCAGCGCAAGAGTCCATTGGCGAACGCCCGAGGTCAAGGGAAAATTTCAGCTCACCTGGAGGCTATTGTGGCGTGTCACGTGACTCGACTGAATGGCAGTCAGGATTTGCGCCGTTCCTTGGTGCACAGGTCTCGGGCACTACTGAGACGGGCAGTTCATCAGGAATCTTGCAGATGTTGAAAGTAATTTCTTAGTTAATGACCTTCGCCTTGCATACCAAGGCCAGAAAAAAACTGAACCCCAAAGCCATCCTCCCAACAGACTGTATCCTAGCAATTTGAGTCATTGTGGAACACCATTGTGAGTTTGGTTGTGGGCTGCTTGCAGCTTACATCGACCTCAAGAAGCCTTTGTACATAACAGATCGCTATGGGAGATCCTGAGACTGAGGGGAATTCTGACAAGGATTATGAGCATAATAGCAAGCTTGTATACTAGTACTGAAAGTGTTGTAAAATGTGGATGGGCCTGTCAAACTTCTTCCCAGTTAACTCAGGGATGAGGCAAGGTTGTGTCCTTGCACCAACACTTTCCAATACTTGCATGGGCTGGGTAATGAATAGAGCTACTATCTAAACACACTGTGGAACATCAAGGTCACTAACCTCGATTTTGCCGACGATGTTGCTATCCTATCTGAGTCTCTGGAATCACTGGTGGTGGCTCCTGATACACTCAGCAATGAGGCAATGACCTTAGGCCTAGAGATTTCCAAGACCAAGATCCAGGAATTTGGGGGCCTGTAAGGGGAACCTGTCTAGTTAATATATGTTTGCAGTGAGGACATTGAAGTTACATGCCTTGGTAGCATAGTCAACATAAACTCAATCAACAAGAGCATTTGGAGATGGTACCTATGCAGAAGGTCCAAGCTATGGGTCTTCAAGGCCTTGATACTGCTAGTTTTGCTCTATGGAAGCGAAACCTGGACGCTATCAAGTGCCTTGGAGTCTCATCTTAATGCCTTTTGTAACAAGTCCCTATGCCAGCTGGGGTACAGCTGGCAGGACCATGTGTCCAACCAATGACTACATTATGAGACTGGCATGGGACCTGTTTCTTGCATAATCAGGGATTGCCAACTCCAGCTATATAGGCACCTAGCCCATTTCCCTGTGGATGACCCTGCCCATCAGATTGCCTCTTTGCAAGACAGTCAATCCTGTGTGGAGGAGGCCAGTGGGATCACTTACGAGGTCATGGCTTGGTCAGACCTGTCGTGAGGAGCTAGGGATGGGCAGAGGGCTTGGTTGGAGGGACCCCCTGTGGATGGAAGCGAAGGGTGGATGCGGCCATGCACCCCCGTCGGCGTTAGCCCTGATGGTATATATATATTTATTTATCTATACAGACATGTATATATCATTTCATTATATTTATTATTATTTAACAGCCATTCATACTACTGCAGGAGTTAGGTCTTTCTTAATTCTATATTGAGAAATTATTTGGTATGATTGGGTGCTCTTTCTAATCAACCACGTTTCAGTGTGATACCACTTGAGCCACTGGAGTGACTTCCCCACGACATGCGGTATGTCGTTTTCTCACAATGATATTGAGTCAAGTGCTCTAATCCAGTGATAGATCTATTTCTTAATATCTATAGTATTTATATATAATGTATGAATATATATATTTATAAATGTTTACATAGTGTTGGTGCAAGAGCATAGCTTTGCCTCACTCCTGAAATAACAGGGAAGAAGCTATATATATAAATGTATACCAATCTTTCTATAAACACACACACACTAGCATGTGCACGTGTATATATGTACACACATAAATACACACAGACATATATGTGTATATATGCATGACTATGTCTGTATACATTTATATATATGTATATTTATATATAATATTTATCAGTCTGAATCAGTCTACTGCAAGATGTAGGCCTCTCCCAATCTTTGTCTTGCATTTTTCGTTTCCAATCTTGGCCCCAAATTTTGTTATTTCGTCATGCCATCTCATTAGTCTAGCCTTTGTCCTCTTTATATTATCTATAGCCCAGTCTATTACTTTGTCCATCTGTTTTCCTGTCTCTGATACATATGACCTGCCCATTGCTATTTTTCTTTTTGCTAAAAACATCAAGAGCCACTAGATTTGCCAGAGACAGATAGAATAGCAACATCGTCAGCAAAGTCAAGGTCGGTAATCTTGATATTGCCCAGAGTATATCTTCCACTTTTGTCTGTTCCCTGATTCACGTCACCCTCATCTGATCTCTTAGGCTAATTCCCATCATCAACCTCTCCATCCCTCTCTGGGCTCTTATTAGATTCCTCTCCAGTAATTTGGTTGTAGTCAATGTGTCGGATCCATAGGTCATAAATGGGAGGTCGCATTGGTTAAAGACTTTTCTTTATAAACAGATTCACTGAAGATTATCTTCTGCAAATCTTAGATTGTTTAGGTATTCATCTCCAATTTTGATACCCTTTCCGTTCCATTCTAACTTCTTGAATATTTCCTTAGGGCAAGCTGTAAATAGTTTTGGTGAGATGGTATCTCCCTGTGTAACACCTTTTTTAATTGGTATTTCATCAGCGTGGAGCTTGATGGTTGCTGTCCCATCTTCCTATATATTTTACAATATACTTCATCCACTCCCTCTTTTTGAATAGCTTCCAGTACTGCTGGTATTTGTACAAAGTCAAATGCCTTTTCGTGATAGAGGAATGGTATATACAGGGCTTCCCTATATTTGATGTTTTTTTTTCTCTTATTTGGGTGTGCATGTGGATGTAGTCTATTGCTGAGAATCCACTTTGGAAGACTGCCTATTCTCTAGGCTGGTTAGAATCCAGACTGTCTGAGATGCGATGTTAGGTACTTCTCTAGTTACTGTGTGGCTGTTCATTTGAGTTGTATAGATCCCTGTAAAAGTCTTCCATTACTCTTATGATTTCATTCTTTTATATACCACTTCTCTGTCTGATTTCTTTATTGAATACATTTGATTTCTCCATATTCCGAGTTTCCTTTTAGCTGTTTTCTTTTCATGCTGGTATCTGAGACCATGTTTCATTTATTATTTTACTATTGAATTTCCATACATCTCTCTTCTCTTTATTTATAGTCTTTGTTAGTTCAGCTAATTCTATTTTGTCCTTGTTTGATGATACTTTCATGAACCTAACTTTTTGCATAATCTGATTAACTTTTACCGAGAGCTTGTTCTAGCTTTACCGCCTACTTCAAGTGCAATTTCTTTTATTATGTCATTGAACTGTTTGTTGATTTGGTCAATGTTGAGATCTTCGTCGCAGAGAAGTGAATATCTGTTTTGGATGTTAAGTTTAAATTCTACTTCTCTGGTCTCCAAGTGAGTTAAATTTAGCTACGGTTTTCATGAGTTTGTTCCTTTCCCTTCTGAGGTACAAATTAATTTGGCCTCTGACCATTCTATGGTAGCTTGCAACATTTACTTTGTTAATAACTTCCACCTTTATCTTATATCATGCCTATTTGAAATTATGAAATTTTCATTTTTGGTGTCAGATGGCAACTTCTATGTCCACTTCTGCTCTTTTTTGAAGAATGTATTCATGATATTGGGTGATCGAGCCTTTGCAAAATCGACTATCATTTATCCCCTCTCATTTCTAGTGTCTATTCCAGGATTCCCCACTACGGTGTCTTATATCTTTTTACCTATTTTAGCAGTAAAATCTCCCATAATTATTGTGAAATAGGTTTTTACTCTCTCTCTCTTTTCATAGAAGCTCTTTATTTCTTCATCATTGTGGCTGCAGGTTGGAGCATAGACTTGAACAATCTTTTAGTTGTGCCTATTGTTTAGTTTTATTGTTACTGAAGCCACTTTCCTAATTCCTAATCGCTACCCTGGGGTTTACCTCTCTAATAGAACACGTGTCCATTAGTATTTTCTGTTCTTCACCTAATCCTACAACATCCCATTTTATGAAAGAGAGTTCCTCAAGTAATACTAGTAAGTCGGATTCAATTCTCATTATATGAGCAAAGGTTCATCAACATGTGGTGGTCCGTTTTTAACTGGAGATTATTAGCACCCTCTGCTCCAGAGCGATCCTGATCACCGCCGTAACCAGGGCCTCCTTCGCCTATGGGAAATGAGGGCCGTTGCTCTGTGCAGTCATGGTTTTTGATATATGTATACAATATGTGTGTGCGTGTATGTATTTATGTGTATTCACATGCATGTGTATGAATATGTCTACATTCATGTCTTTGTGACCTAGTGTGTTGTTCCTAATGACTTGTATTATATTGGTTTGTGGGCAGGAATATTCTTCGTTTTAACATATTTTCCATTGGTTACAATTGCGGTAAAAACTGCAACTGTAAGGTCAGGCAGAACTGTAGTATGTAAGCCTAGTTGCCAAAGTTTTTAAGCTTTTGATTCTTGTATATAAGGCATTTTAGATATTCTTTCACGGGACTTTGTTAAATAATTATAGGATCTGTATTTATTGCACAAGTTATCAAAAGAGATGAAAATCTTCATTGTCAGATGATAGTGCAATGTCTAAATGTCAGATTCCTCCAATTCCTGCTGAGTCTTGCGGAACTTGGCCAAGTTGAGGGCGGCGATCTCCTCAGACTCTTCAATCTGGTACTTGTAGGTCTTGATCTTCTGGTGGAGCTTATCGACGAGGTCCTGCATCCTGTCGTGGTTCTTCTTGTCCTCATCAGTCTGGAAAGCAAGCTCCTTGATGCGCCTCTCGCACATCCTCAGATTCTTCTGAGAATCGGCGTGACGGCGACTCTCATCATCCAGAGTAGACTCGAGATCACGAATGCGAGCTTCCATGTTGCTGACTGCCTTCCTACCACCCTTTATGGCCTCAATTTCACTTTCCTCTAGACGGGTCTGGAGATCCTTAGCAGTGATTTCTAAGGCCTTACGCATCTTCTCTTGGGCCTGAGCATATTCCTGCTCAGAGCGAAGTTCATCGGCCAGACGTGCAGCGTCAAGCATTGCCTTCTTCGCCTTCCCCTCAGAGTTCTTTCCCTCGTTGAGCATTTCTTCGTGGTCAGCCTTCATATAAGTAATATTAGCAGTTACTATTTAAGTAGTGATTAAGGATTTGGTAAATTATATATTTTCCTTTTCATTTTTGTAAGAACTTTAAATCACCCAAAAAAATAGGCATTTCACCCTCAAGTATTCTCATTAACTTACCTGGAGATTATGCATTTCGCCCTCAAGCTTCCTCTTTGAGGCTGTGAGACCAGCATTCTGGTTAGTTAAGATGTTGATATGGTCGCGTGCATCACTGAGCTCAGTCTCAGCGTTGCGACGGCCGCGGTCTGATTGTTCGAGAAGAGTGCGGGATTCCTCCAGTTCTCCATGAAGGGCGTTGAAGCGGCGTTCAGCAATGCCGTATCGTTCACGGAATTCGGAGGCAACACGTTGCTCTTCCTTGGCACGGGCTTCCGCATCATTGACTTCATCGTGAACCTTTTTAAGATGTTTGTGAAGGTCCGCGTTGGCCTTATTGGCGTGGTCAAGGGCAATTTCGAACTCGTTGACGTCGGTCTCGAGCTTCTTCTTCATGCGTAGAGCCTCAGCCTTACCTTTAGCTTCAACCTCAACAGAAGCTTGAAGGGAATCGATGGCTCTTTGATGGCATTTGCTGTAAGTAGATAATATTTTCTTGAAAGTTATATTCACAATTATACATGAGTGCCACGTATATTTCTATGCAATATATATATATATATATATATATATATATATATATATATATATATATATATATAGATATTGTACATACATACATACATATATATATATATATATATATATATATATATATATATATATATATATTGTACATACATATATATATATATATATATATATATATATATATATATGTATGTATGTATATAGTATGCATCCTTTGCTTACCGAGTATTGTCGAATTCTTCTTCCTTCTCCTGAACGCGCCTGTCGATCTCTTGCCTGACCTGGCTGAGTTCAAGTTGAGTGCGGAGGACCTTGTTCTCTTCTTGTTCAAGAGCTGCCTCAGCCTCCTCAAGAGCTGCCTGGAGTTCTTCCTTCTCGAGCTCAAGACGTCTGGCATTCTTCTGAATTTCCTGGTATGCTCGGCCAACCTCAACAATCTGGTCCATCAGATCCCTGATCTCGTCGCTCAGGTTCTTGTTCTCTCGGCGAATGCTGTCAAGCTGTTCAGTGTTCTCATCATTAGCGGCCTTCAGACGGAAATGCTCGGTGGAGTAGTTGCGGCATTCCTTCTGAGAGGCATCTAACTCAGCAGCCAAGTCATAAAACTTCAGTTTCCATTCGGAAATGATCTTGTCGAAGTTCTTCTGCTTCTTTTCAGCAGCACTAGCGAGGGCCTGTACACGCTCAGCAGAAGCATGGAAGTCGTCCAGCTCAGCAGCAGCACGCATTTTAGTCTTTTCGAGATGCAGGTTCCTCACATTGAGGGACTCAATTTCCATTTCGGCTTCCTCAAGACGAGCGGCGAGCTTCATACGAGCAGCCTCGAGTTCTTCAGCACGGGCAACACCCTCAGACTCGTACTTGGAGCGCCACATGAGAGCCTCAGCGTTAGCTGCAGACAGCATTCGGAGAACACCTCCCTTGGCATCACTTTCCTCATCCAGTTGATCACGGAGAGCTTGAATATCGAGCTGCAAGTTGCGGAACTTACCCAGGAGAGTGGCACGACCCTTTAAATTAAAGACATATTAGTTTATTGAAAGTTTTTTTTCCAGTACATAATTTATTATACATGCATGCATCTACATTTACCTGCTATACGAATAACTTTGCATTTGTATACATACTGACATACAGAAGCAAGATCATGAAGAAGTTTATGGTATTTGTGAATGCTCATATAAATTCGGCATTAGTATATGCATTATAAATATATCTACAACTTACCCTGCTTTCATCGTCACACATCTTCCTGGTGTCGTCAAGCTGGTTAGTGAGAGAAAGTTTGATCCTTGACAGCTGGCCAAACTGGTCTTCGGCCTCATCAAGCTGGCGAACAAGGTCAGCATTCTCGCAGGCAAGCTTCTTCTTGGTGGCATCAAAGTCACTCAGTGTACGGTTGACCTCGTCTAGTCTGGCACATATCTCACTATACTGATGCTGCAGCTGTTTGGTGGTTTTCTCGGCGATCATCTGTGTGACAAATTAAACCAATTCAAACAACTAACTTAATATTTAAAATGTGAACAACCGGTATACCACAGAAATCATGTATGTGTGCGTATGTACCCCCCCCCCCCACACACACACACACACATACGCACATGCATACATATCTCTATATACATATACACTGAGGTCGGCGGTTTACTCCCCGCCCAGGTGTGAAAAGATGCAATTATCGCTTGGTGGCTAAGGAATAGGCTCAGTCAAGTCAGCAAGGCTTACCTTCGCATATCTTATCTTATCTAATCGAGTCGGCATTAGTCAGCTCAGGCCGGGCGAGGTTCAGTTTCGTATATA